TAAGAAAATAAAGAGAAAAATCACAGATTGGAAGAAAATAAACTGCAAATTGTATTTCTGAAAAAGAATTTTCATAATATTATAATGAGAAAAATATTAAAACTCAACAATAAAAATACAGAAAACCTGGGATGGGGGATTTAGCTCAGCAGCACTGCACCTGCCTTGTAAGCACAAGGTCCTGAGTTCAATCCCTGGTACAAAAAACAAAACAAAACAAAAACAACAACAACAAACCCAGACAATCTAATGCAAAAAAAAAAAAAGCAAAAGATCTGAATAAATTATTTTTCAGAGAAGATGCATGGGTTATAAATACTTATGAAAAATGTATAAACATCATTCTAAGTAGAAAAATGCACATTAAAACCACAATGTGATACTATCACACACCTATTAGATAGCAACCAGTACAAACAGAAAATAAAAGTTAACTATACCAATTGCTCATGTAGGTATAGTGCAACAGTAATTGTCATATGGTTCTGGTGAAATGCAAAGTTGTACACCATGTTTGAAATTGTTGAAAACTTTCTCATGCAGTTAAATAAGTATATAACACAGCAAGCCCACTGCCAGATGTTAACCCAAGGAAAATGAAAACTCTGTGTTAATGTCTTTTCTGTTGCTATAACACAATACCTGAGGCTGAATTACTTGTACAGAAAAATGGTTTATTTAGCTCAATGTTGGAGATAGAAAGTCTAAACAACATAGCCCCAGGTCTGGTGAGGGCTTCCCTGGGTACTTCAATGCACTGTATAAAACATGTTGGTGAGGATGCAGGAGATAGGGAGAGATCACTCAGTGAAAGAAGAAGCCAGAGCACAACAAAGGGTGGGGATTGCAACCTTCAACTAGACCCCACTTCTTAACCATCCCATCACCTCTCAACATCACAAGGCTGACGACCAAGTTCCCAATATATGAACCCTTAGGAGCGTGTTTAGTCATCTTTCTGTGTCAGTATTAGTCACTGTTGTCATTATGACCAAACACCTGAAATAAGCAACTTAAAAAGAGTCATTGGCTTGTGGTTTTGGTGGGTTGGCTATGCTGCTTTGGACTTATAGTGTCAGAATACATAATGGAGAGAATGCACCTGATGTGGCAGCTGAAAAACAGGGAGGGAGGGAGAGAGAGAGAGGGAGAGAGGGAGAGATCAAAGTCTCAATATCCTCTTTGCATGCCTCACAGACCCACTCAGACCCACTTCTTAAAGGTCCTACCACCTCCCAGTAGCACCACAGGCTGAGGACCAAGCCTCCATTCAATACATGGGCTTTTGACCAACATTACAGATCCAAACTATAGCACACTGAAACTATGTCCAAACAACAGCATTTTTCTCACAAGCAAACTTGTACTTGACACTTACATCAGTTTATTCATAAGACCTAAACCTGGAGACAACCCTGATGTCCTTCAACCAGTGAACAATACATGAACTGTGGTATATACAGCCAAGCTCAACAATAAAAGGAGTAAAGTATTATAAACAACACAACAGAGTATCCAAATCATTTTGCTAAATCCAGGAAGCTACAGAAGGCTACATATGGTATGATTCATTTTATATTACATTCTAGAGAAAGGAAAACTGTAGGAGCGAACATCGTTGCCTGTGCTGAGAAGCATGTCAATGATGGAGTAGCAGGAGGGAATTTACAGGGGATTTTATGAGAATTTTAAAAAATCATTTAGAAAGTCAGGAGTCCTGCTTAATCATGGAGGTAGGCAGAAAGCTTAAGATCCATCCACAGATGTGTCCATGTGGCCTAAAACTCAAGTCTGCACAAAACTTTTTCAAAATTGGAAAGAGAATTCGCATAAAACCAAAATATGTTCAGGGTGATTCATAACTTGAACCAACAGAAATCTGGAACATAGCCAGAATATAAAAATCCAGGCTTTCAAAACATATGAAGGTACCCAGGCCATGACCAGACCCCTGCCTCTTTGGCCTCCTTTTACATAACTGTTCTTTCATCTCTGTTCTTGGTCAACACACTAGGCTTTAGGCACACTGTCTTCTCCAGGTTGCTAGAACACTTCAAGATCTTTCCTGCCTCAGCATCTTGCTTGCTCCTCCTGAGGCCTGGAAAGCTGTTGCCATTTTCTTCCCATGGCACACTGCTCTTGATGCTTTTTGGTCCTTAATAGGAGCCTCTTGGTCCCTCCCTCTATAATTTAGGCTCTGTGCTTGTTTTTCATATTATGTTATTCTCATTGCCTAAAACCCTGCCTAGCACACAGTAAGTGCTCAATATATATGGCATGAAAGGACCACTCAGTATTCTTAATGTTTAGTTCAAAATTCTGGTGGAATATGGACCTTGGCTTTGGCCTGAGTGCTGTGAGGATAGTCAGAAAATCTCACTACAAGAACATTAAGAAAGCATGCATGTAAAGTTCTGGGCTGGCTGATACTGTAGTCCTAGCCCTCAAAGAAAGGCATAAAAGCAGCTTAATGCTCAAGTGCTCGTGAAAGTCTGCAAAGGGGAAGAGGGCAAACCTAAGCTGTTAAGTAGGGAAGTACTCATCTAGAGGAAGAACAATTGGATACACTGTGTTAGTACAAAATGGTAAGAAAAAGCAGCACAGATTCAAACAAATGATCCTTAGAAAACCTCACTGCTGGCAGGAAAATGAGAAAGCATACTGTCTCACTACAAGAGTTCTGCTGGTTATTGTTATTCAAGATAAGAATTCCTGTGTTGGGAATTTAATCCTCAAATCCTATGTTGATAGTACTTGGAGGTGGGACATTTGGGAGGTAATTAAATTTAGATAAGGTTATGAGGATGGAGCCTCCAAAATGGCATTGCTGCCTTATAAGAAAGGGCCCCAAGTGTACACTCCTTTGCTTTCACCATGTGATGCACCCCACCATGTTATGACACAGAAATAAGGCCTTTACCAGATGCCAGCACCTTGATATTGGATTTCCTATTTTCCAGAACTGTGAGAAACAAATTACTCAGCCTCAGGTATGCTGTTATAGCAACAAAGAATAGACTAAGACAAAGACACTGGAGCATATCTGAAGCTGCTAATACTCTGGAGATCTGGATTTGGTACAAAGCTTTATTCTCCTTAAACTCTGATACTGTGCTGCAGCAGTAGGTTCTGGATTATGGGAGAAGAAAGTCCCTGCTGGATCCCATGAGATAATCTCAAACTGGAAAATCCTGATGGGTGCCAGATGAGCGGTATGAGAAGATCTCTTCCAATACAGGTATACATTTGCTACTTAGGGTTCCTAGAGATCTGTCCAAGATTGATCATCCTAGAAAACCTACAAGGGTATTAAATAGAGGGTCAGAATTTTCCCAACCTGTGCAACCAAGAAAATTGTGTCTTGCAGATGGGACTTGTACCATCAGCAGGTAAATGAATTCCTTCTCTTAACCCAGCTTCTTTGGGGCTTATCCACAAAACAAAAGACAGCCACTCTCCCCCTGAACTTCATTTTCTCTCTTCAAAGAGACTGCAGTGGGCTTATCTAACCTGAGGCCATAGATAATTTATGCTACCCATTTTTAGGCACTCTGTAAGTTGAGGGAGAAGAGGAAGCCCACAATCAGAAAAGGTGGTTCCAATTAAGATTCAGTCAATGGAGAAGGCAAAGAATATGTTCAAAAAATATAAAACATCACAATTACTGCAGACTAAATTGTTTTATTAAGATATATATTACCATAATAAGTATAATATAAAATCCAGGCACAATTTCTAGAAATGGGCTGAAACAAAGTTATAAAAAAATAATAGAGGTTAAGGAGTTTATACCGAGTAAATGCAAAGGAAAAACTAAACTGGCATGAATGGTGACCTTCGTATCAACTAAAATAAAATTCCAGGGCTGAGAATGCATCTTGCATTTAGAGACCTTGCCTAGCATTCATGAGGCTATGGGTTCAAGCTGTAGTACTGAAGAAAAAAATTTAAAAATGCAATTCAAAGCCAAAAGTATTAACAAGATCAAAGAAGAACCATGTTGTATTAGTCAGCTTTGAGTTGCTGGGACACAATACCCAATACCCACACCTTAAAAGAGATGTTTCATTTGGCTCGCAGTTTCTCTGGATTCAATTTATGGTTATCTAAAACACCATGATGGAAGGGCATGTTGTGATAGGTGGAGAGGCAGAGCAAGGAAACAGTGCCAGAGAGGAAGAGGCAAAGGACCAGATATGGTACCCAACATCGTACCTCCATGACCCAACCAGACATAACCTCTAAGAGTCCTTTATGAATCTCCTGAGTAGCCCCAAGCCAACTGAGTTGACACCATTAAGCTTAACCCCAACACATATAAACACAGATTAAGAAAAAGTTTATCAATCAGTGAAGATGCTCCATAGAGGACATAAATAAATCTTAATAGAATAAATAATATAGCAGCCAATATCCCAGAAATATAAGGAGAAATTAACAAAAATACTAATGGTGGGATAGTCTTAATATAATTTTTAAATTTCACAGGTCAAGTATACAATTAAGGCAAAGATATGAAAGATTTGAAAACACAATAAACTTTTTTTCTCATATCCATGTGACACACAATTAAATCATATATTTTATTAATAGCAGAAAAAAACTGATAAACTTTTATTTTACTTTATTCAAAAATAAATCAATAATAAAGATAGCTTAAATGTTTAATTGTTGAGAAATTAAGAAATTTCTTCCATATAACTCCTGGTTCAAAAAAAGAAAGCAAAATAGAAACTCCAGGGCTGGGGATTTATCTCAGCAGTTTGGTGGCCTGCCTTGCAAGTGCAAAGACCCGAGTTCAATCCCTGGTACCAAAAAAAAAAGAAACTTTAAGTACCCAAAAGAAAAAAAAAACCAAACACCAAAATGCATCAAAAAGAGGTAATGTAATATTCAGGGAGATATTTGTAGCCCTAAATATTTTATTGTTTAAAAATAAAACAGTGAAATGTATAAACTCATGACAATCACAACATATATGAAGCAATTTGCATCTTATTTTTCTTTAATTATAGACAAAATGAATAAACACTTGTGTTTCCATTAATCTTCAGGTTTTCTTCAACCAAACTATTTTCATTTCTTCCCTTTTTTGATGTCACAGTGAGAATGGATAAAGCGGTCAAGTATTTGTCTGTCTGAAAATTATAAGAAAAACAAAAAATTTCCATGAAAGTATTAAAATACTAAAAAGAAAAGTTTTAGGAAGGAAGTAAATACCTGATAGTAGTAGTATATTCATGAATTTGATAAGAATTCAAAAGAATGAAAGGACATTATGTCTAATACCTAAAGAGGCCTAGTTGCATAATTATTAAGAGTAAACACAGTATTCAAAGGATCTGCAGGCTTACTGAAAAGAACATGGATTTTAGAGAGAAACACATCTAAGTTTCAGCTCTGCCCTGGCAAGTGTGTATAGGTCATTTAACATCTTCCCCTCCTTCATTTCCTTGTCTGTGAATTGAGATCACTGCTTTTGGAACGGATTAAGGACACTGTACATGGAGCACCTACACAGTGCCAAGCCCAATGAAGACATTTAATAAATAGGAGCGTCATCCTTTATTATGAGGTGCTCAACAATAAATGGTGATGACAAACAGTGGAGACTCGTTCCAAAGTTTTCATAGACATCAGGGCTGTTTTCTCTTCCTTAGCATTTTAAGGATAGAAATTTGGCAGGCTTTGCTATCCTTAAGCACTAACTGACCCTGGGAATGCTCTTCAGCTCCCTCCCTCCATTTCCTCTTCTGTGAAGTGAAGGCCTCTGCAGTGGTTCTGAATGCTGATGACGACTCCCTAATTTTAATAACATACTTTGTGTAAAAGAAAAAAAAATGTAGAGTGGCGCTCCAAAGCTTTCTTATTCCCAGACATTCTTATCTGTGCATCCAGAAACAAAGAGCAACAAGTCCAAGTGATAGCATATTTCCATGCTTGACATTCATGTCATCCCAATGTCACTTATACCACATGTGGTCCATGCATCAGGGGAGTGTATATGTGTGTTGTGTATGTGCATTCCCTAACAGATGAGAGTTATGATCGCTCCATACGCTCAACATTAATCTTATTCATTGTAAGTGCTGTCTCTAGTTTTAAACTTTAAAGATTTTTATTAAAATAAGCATTAAAAATTTTAATTAAAATAAGCATTACATTTTTTCAGATATCAGAGATATGCATATAAGATGAATCAAGTTTGGAATCCATCAGTACAAAGGTGTCACTCAGCCATGAAGAATGAGAAATTAGAGTCATTCATAGGAAAATGGATGCATACTGAGGTTATACTCAAGTGAAATAGATAAGTCACACATGTGTAACTACTGAATAGTTTCTCTGGTGTGAAAAACTATAATTGTAAATAAAATCCTAATGATATAATTGACTATAATTGACAATGTGAAATAGGAAGAAAAGGGCTAAAGGTGTAGGAGAAAAGGGAAGGGTAGGGGAACAAAATAAGGGAAAAGAAAAAAATCTGAGAAAATGAAAAAATGGAAATACAGTTTTTGTAAATAGGGCAGGGAAGAGGGGGTAAAGGGAGGGCAGAGCTATGGGGGAAAAATGAGAACCAAGACCTGTCATGCAAAGGTACAAGATCCCAATAATGAATGTAACTGTACTGTATACCTAAAATGTACAAATAAATTCAATGAGAAAAAAAGTTGTCAAATTTAATTCCAATTTAACTGCTAATTATAATTCAAATGCTACCTATATTTATTTTGTGTAGATACAGATTCATGTTCCCATGGTTTTGTTTATGTTTTTCCCTCCTTCAGGAATGACCTTACCTCTCCTCATGCAGATTCATCTTTAAGACTTAAAGTACATCTACTTTGGGTAAACTTACCTCATACCCTACAAAACTATAAAACTAGGAACATCCTTTGGTTCTGTCGATGGTTTCTTTTGCAGTGCAGAAGCTTTTTAATAAGATGAGATCCCAGTTGTTGATTCTTTCTGCTAGTTCCCATGTTACTGAGGATTTGTTCATAAAGTCTTTTCCTATGCCAGTCTTCAGGAGTTTTGCCTAACTTATCTTCCAGCAAGTTTAGTGTTTCTTTTTTAATATTAGATCTTTAATCCACTTGGATTTTAGTTTAGTGCATGGTGAAAGATAAGGGTCCAGTTTTAATCTTTGGCAGGTGGAGATCCAGTTTTTCCAACACCATTTATTAAAGAGACTATCTTTCCTCCACTGAGGATGGTCAGCTCCTTTGTCAATGAGGTAGCTGAGTACATCTGGAGCTGTTTTTGTATCTTCCAGTCTGTTCCACTGATCCTCAGGTCTGTTTCTTTGCCAGTACCATGTTGTTTTTATCACATTGGCTTTGTAGTATAGTTTCAAATTGGGGATTTTTATACCCGCTGCCATATGTCTGTTGCCTAGGATGGCTTTTGCTATTCTAGGTCTCTTCTGGTTCCAAATGAATTTTTGGATTCTTTTTTCTAGTTCTGTGAAATATAGTGTTGGAATTCAATCATATTGCACTGAATCTGTATAGCAGTTTTTGTAGTATGGCCATTTTCACTATGTTGATTCTTCCTACCCAGGAGCAGGGGATATCTTTCCCATTTTCTTATATTCTGTGCAATCTCTTTTTTCAGAGTGCTGTAGTTTTCAGTGTAGAGGTCTATTGCTTCTTTCGTTAGATTGATTCCTAGATACTTTATTTTTTAGGATGCTATTGTGAAAAGAATTGTTTCCCTAATTTCTCTTTCAGTAAGTCTGTTATTTGTGTACAAGAAGGCTATTGATTTTTGAGTGTTGACCTTGTATCCAGCTACTCTGCTAAAAGTGTCAGTTATGTCTAGAAGTCTTTTGGAGGAGTTTTGTGGGTCTTCAATGTAGAGTATCAACATCCTACACAGCTTTCTCAAACTATCGAAGATCACTTTGATTAGAACTTAGTACAGCTATGTATCCGTCTCCTGTGTAAATGTGTTTTTTTAATCCGTTTCATATGTAGTAATCATTATAGGTATTCAATCAATGAAGTTTATTGAGTAAGTAAATAAATGTATTCTTAATACTGAATCACAGGCTAGGGAGAAATCTCTCCTGGATTGCCATATTCATGGGAATTTGGGTTGGAGGAAGGAAGGGAAAGGAGCTGCAACTGGAGAAGTTCATGGAAAACCAGATTTCAGATAATTATCTGAAGTGGGTAGATGACACAGTCTTTACCAATGAATACTAATCCTAAGAGTAAGCTTCTGAGTGGTCTGAGTCAGACTTAGGGGGCAAAACAATTTTTAAAATAGATTGGCCTTGGGCCTGGGATTTAGCTCAGTGGTGCTGCTGCCTGCCTCACAAGTGTAAGGACCCGAGTAACAAAAATATAAATAAACAAACAAACAAATAAATAGATTGGCCATAAAGACAAGTAGTTCAATACCCTCAAGCTATAAATAAATTGAATAGAGGATGCCCATCCCTTATCTGAAAAGCTTGGGACTAAAAGAGTTCCATCTTTGAGAATTTTTTGGATCTTGGAATGTTTTTTATAAGCACAATAAAATATCCTGCAGATGGGACCCAAGTTTAAACATGAAGTTCACTTATGTTTCATATGCACCTTATATACACAGCATGAAAGTAATTTTATAAAATATTTTTAGTGTGCCTGCACTTCTTTAAAAACTGCAACCCATCACACAAAGTTAACTGTGAAATTTTGGCCTGTGACATCATGTCAGTACTTCCAAAATTCTGGATTTCTGACTTTTGAATTAGGAACGTTCAAATTGCACGAAATACTGGTAACCACAGACTTACCGGAAACAGAAGGTGCACCTTCAGCTGCTCTCTCCTCCTTTCTTCTTGCGGACCTTTATTTATTTTTTTCTTCCTGAAGTTTTCTCTGTCCCTGCTCAGCCTGCAGTCTCTCCACCCTGACTTAAACTGTTACCTCCTCCCTCCCCCCGAGTCCCCCTCCTTTTCCTTCCTCCCCTTCAATTTTTTTCTTTCTTCTTTCTTCCTCCTCCTCCTTCTTTTCCTCCTCCCTCCTTCTTTCTCTTTTTCTTTTTCTTCCTCCTCCTCCTCCTTCTCTTCCCCTTCCCCCCAGACCCTTGTCTGTCTCTCTCTCTCAAATTGTTCCTGTTCTGGGCTCCTATTCTAGCAGGACCTGCTACTGATAAAAGAATAATCCAGTAAAATAATTTAAGATGTGTTGATAACTCAGCCTTAGATATCTGCCAGGTATTTTATACTCTGCCTATGGGCTTAACCCCACTACAAAATAGAACTGTTGAGATATTCACCAGCAGAAAAGTATTTGTCATCCCTGACAGTAGAAAATGACACGAGGTTTGGGAAATATGGACTCAAAGGAAACCTCCTACATCCTTATCATCCTCTATCACAGCTGGCATCCATGAGTGAGTCATCCTAAAGCAGAGCTGGGAAAAAAAAGTTAAAACCGATGGAAAGCTGCTCCTCCCTCCATTAGGCCAAGGCAGCACAAAATAGCAACGCTTTGGCCTAGAGCCTCTGGTTACCTACCTCCAATGTGTCCCTAAGGGAACCAGAAAAGCAGAACACTCAGGAAGAAACAAAAAAACGAGCCCATCTTAATTTAACCTTGATAGCTAGTAGGTCATATGTCACCTGTTTGGGGAAAAAGCCTGACTTAGAAGGAAGACAGTGCTGGCTGGAAAGGTCATCTTACTGTAGGTATTTTGGCAGATGTAGATGCCAAGTTGGGCAGAAGTTTCACATGCAGGGACACTGCTAAAGCTCACACTGCACACAACACACAAACATGAGACCAAGATGCCTGGCAGCTACTGCGGTTCCATACAGGAAGGAGCAGTGACTGCATCGATATATGGCCAGTCTCCGGGCAGATGGGAGCATGTGCTTAGGAATGACAGAAATTCTCTTGCTATCAGGTCCAACAGATGTGGCTCCTAAAAGTAAAATGAGCTCTATATAAAGTGCAGGGGATGATTTTATACATGTGCACCAAAGCTGAGGAAAGAACAGGAAGGCAGCCTGGGTTTGCTGCCAACCTTCCACTCTGCCTTTGGGGAGGAAGGGACCAGCAGATCTCCTGGAGCCTGCTGGTTTCCTTCTGAAGTGTCAAACTGGCCCAGAGGTATCTGCTGGGCTCTCAGTGGATCATACATACTGTACTTCAGCCTCAATATGAGGCAAAACATCTGCTTCTTAATATTCCCTGAAACCCAATATTCAAGCACTTTTAAGGGTAGAAATACCTCCATTTTCTCCTGCACACATGCGCACACACACACACACACACAATCTCTACTACTAGAAGGTTCCAGTTTTGTTTGGAGCAGGATATCTGAGGTAGAAAAAAGGCTTTCCATGAAAATTCCAGAGGAACCAGCACTGGGCTTGACTGGGGACAGGTGAACAGCAGTGACTGGGGCCTGAGAGAGTTAGGTGGCAGATGAAAGGCAGTTGAAAGGCTTCTGAGTATCTGGTGCAAGTAGTGAGTTTAAGCTTGACCACATGATACAAAACAGTTCATGATCCCATGTTGCCTTTAAGCACAAAGTAAGGTGCAGGAGATGATCTGTCATGTGCAAGAAAAGTATTAGAACCTCTACTTATATTTGCTTTTGGCTTCCTCCCTTAAGACGGTATGTTTCGGGCTGAGGATTTAGCTCAGTGGCACCATGCCTGCCTTGCAAGTTCAAGGTCCTGAGTTCCATCCCTGATGCAAAAAAAAAAAAAAAAAAAAAAA